CAGATTGTTGTTCTGGGTCTGGGTGTCATGTGTATGTAAACCTGTATGTTCGTAAACGCATTCACAACAGGAGAAAAACCTAGTGTGGGACAACTTTAAAAAACAGAAACAAAAAATATAAGTCAACTTATTTGCTTTAATTCTTCTTTTGATAATCCCTCGTTCTCAACACGTGCAGCTAGCAACCAGCCAGTAACCACAACATGACACAGGCCGCGGTCTCCGACCACAACGCGATGCACAAATTGCGACACCCGTTAAACTAATTGCATGTCATCAGGTGGTGTCATCAGGTTTTCGAAAGAAAATAGTTTTTTTTTGTTCGATAAGAACTTTATCGGTGTGTCCTTTATTTAGTCCTTGTTAGTGTCCTTTAGTTAGTCCTTTTTTAGACAACTTTTCTTAAGGTTATGTTAAGGAGTAGAAATACAATGTAGAATCAAAATTTCACCAATAAAGTCCTGAATCCTTGTTACAGTGGTATCATTTATTATTAGCAGTTCGAGTGTGCTTCGTAAAAATCGCGTACATACAACAACCTTTTTTATTCATTCTCTACACTAACTACTTACTACTACTAAATAAGCTTAAATAATGTCGCGGAGAACCTAGTAACCGCGGCTCCGGCTCGACGTGCAGGAGAAGGAACGGGGTGGTTTTTAGTCAGTAAGAGTCTGACACTCCCTCCCGCCTCACCCAGGCGGGAACAGCCATTAGATGATTTTGCTCTCTTTAAAAAAAAGCCTAAATAATAGTAGGTATATCTGCAGACATCATTTAAATGTTTTACATATACAGTCCCGTTGTCCCGTTGTCCCGACAGTACAGACACCAAAAATGAATCATTCTTAACATCAGACTATGGAAATGAGTAAACACATGTGACCTCGTCTAACTAAATTACGAGCATAAATCTTGTCAGTTTTGCCTCAAGATTTATAACTATTGTGTAGGAGAAATTTAAATAAACTTATTGTTATTTAAAAATTATTATTGTTCCTTTATTTCAGGCAACTGTGGCCCATATAAAATATAATACACAAATAAATAAAAATACAATACAAAACTAAAACAGATACGAAAAATGAAAACATCAATAAACTAATAGATATACAATAAAAAAACTCATATATTAATTATTGCACACGAATTTAAAAGATCAGAATGGTCTTAAATAATTCTTTCGTAAACTACACTTAAAAAAACGACTAGAATCCTCTTTTCTTTTGAATCCTAAGTGTATCAAACACTTTTCTGAAAACCACATTAAAATTAGTTCAGCCAATCGCGAGATAATAAAAAACATACATACATACACCTACAGGTAAAACTAAGAACCTCCTTGTTTTGAAGTCGGTTAAAATACAGCTACACTTCGTTATTTCTTTCTTTGTCGTTTGATGTGCAAGGAATTGGTATTTCAGGCTCGCTAGTTTTGCTTTATTAAAAATGATCTGTTGAATATGTAACAAATTGATGCTTGTCTGTTATAATAACTAGTAACTATCTATCCTAATTCAGTTACGATCCCCTTTAAAACAATATACCCAAATATTTCCACCATCTGTTTTTCCACTTGGATACAAAATATTAAATACAAAAAAAAACGAAAGCAATCACGACACTCCAACATCAGGAAAGCTTGACAAGCTAATTTCATTTCTTTGAACCAAAAAATATAACTCAATTTACAAGTACCTACACTTTTTTCTCTTTATGATTTTATTGAAACACTTCAGGAAAATTCCCATTCAATCCGAAAGCAGTGAAAATTACATAAAACGGATTTACTGCGTCGAATAAAAGGTTCTTTTTGACATAAACGTGGTACCGGTATGTAGTCCCTGTGATATTTATTGGTTTATCTTTAACGGTTTATAGCCTGATCCGAGACTCGTAGAATATCACGTCTGTGGTCATCAGAGAGGGTAGGTAGAAAGAGATACATTTCACCTGAATCAAAAATGGAGACAGAGGAGGTTCTCAAAATGACCTGCCACATTTTTTCTTTTTTAAAAAGAAACGTTGCCCCACTCTAGGATTTTCTCCTGTGTCGTGGGTGCGTTTACAAACATACAAGTTCACATACACATGACACCCAGACCCGGAACAACAATCTGTGGATCACACAGAGTTGTTCCGTGCGGGAATCGAACCCGCGACACGTTGCGCGGCAGTCAGTTGCCCAACTCCCGCGCCAACCGTGCAGTCAATCAACATTATTATGCTGAGCTCCAGCCATTTGCGCTGGCCGCACCATGAGCTTTTTATGTGTACCTGTATTCTTGTTGTGTGCCGTGGCGTAATAAATGGATTTTTTTCTTTCTTACCTGATTTTACGGTTGTCAATTTCACTTAATGTTTATGTGTGTTCGTTCTATCGGTTTCACTAAGATTTTTCTAAAAAATCTTAAGATTCAAGTGAATATTAGTCCTGAAATTAAATAACCTCCGTCTGCCCTCCATAGCCCGCAGGTCGTTCAAGTATAGTACTTGTTTATTGAACTATAAATTGATGTTATGTTGACATCAAACGGTAATTAAATCGACTGACTATTAAAGCGAAGATCGGATTAAAAAATATATTATGTACCCAGTCTGGCCCTTAGACAAATTATTTTATAATAATAATAATAATAATATCGTTTATTTCTCAGTATATGGTACACACAGATCTTAACAATACAGCAGTTTCACATACACAACCGTCTCCGGTGTAGAAATAATTATAATAGTATTACATTTCATATTTTACCAAAAACATTGATTCTATATAGTACTATCTAGTTTATTAAATATCTGGACCACCTACTTTATAATATAAAATGTCATTGATTTTTATAAAATTAAATGTTGATCGATAAAAGTCATAAGTAATTAAGTAGGTAGTTCAGTAGTCACAATGTAAGATGTCAAGGAATTCAATTATTAGATACAATCGTCATAATAATACAATAATAAAATGTCGAAATACAACACAATTCATAAACAAGTCAAGTAAGTACCTACATACTGTAATTTATAAAAGTCTAATTACTTTATTATTTCCATGACTTATCCTCTAAGTATTTTAAAACGTTGTCGCTAAAGTCAAAATAAATGTGAGTGTCAGTCTTATTTATTTATTTAAATTAAAATAGTACAACATAACAGGGATTAAATCATAGCGTTATACATTTAAAATAATTATAAACAAGTTGTAAAGATAGAAGAAAAATAATAAGAATAAGTTTTAATTATTAGTTTTAGTTTTCACTGTCTTCTTCTTATTTGTTTTTTTTTGTTGTTACACACTGCGCATATGATGTATTTATTTCTCCTCTCGCAGGGCTGCAGGAAGAAATCCCATAAGGGATATGCAGTACCTGTGTACCTCTGTTTTGTTATATATTTTTTTTTTCTTCTGTGTATTGTCTATGTGGTGTACATGAATAAATAAATAAATAAATAAGAATTAGAAAAGCCTTACATATGTAGGATCAGGGTCCGACATTATTTGAAAATAAAACAAAGGGCTTCACACAATCACTTAGTTTATTTCGATTAAATGAACTTACTTTCACATTAATTTTTAATTATAATAATTGAATAATTCAGCACTGATTATATAAAGGAAACACTCAAATAAAACCAACAATAAAATTACTCAGTGATTGCGTAACGTGTGAACTGGGCAACGATCGACGAACGACTGACTCGAGCTTGCGCTTTCGTTGCTTTATATATCACTCGGTGGTGGGGTTGAAGTGACGTCGGTCAGTTGTTTGTTCACTGCTTGCCCATTACATTCGCAGTTTACATAATAATGACGGCGGCGCCGTCACATACTATGACACGTTTTAACACCAATAACCAAAATATACAATAAATACATTTACCATTAGGTACTCATACATTTGTTGCATAAAATATATGTTCCTCTGTGAGACATTTCAAAGAGTTCAAATACCAATTAATGACTTGTCATAAACTTTGATTAATATTTGTGAAAACGTATTGAAAGTTTGAAAATGGCGTACCTGTCACACACATAACTTCAACCATAATGAACAATACAAACATTACTGGGATTAATTAACTAAAGTCTTAATTAATTGTTAAGTATAATCGTGATAGATTATATTGAAAATGTTTAATAGTTTTGTTTATATTATTAGTATTAACTGTGTGATAAAGTAAAATACAGGCAGCTAAGCCATTAATAAATGTTTACATCAATAGTACCTCATTTTATTTACTTAAATAAAACAAAAAAATGTATTTGTTTAGCCCATAGTCCTTGCGTGAAAAATTCTACAAAGATTTTTGTGAGAAAATTTCGTTAAAGCGTTTCTGTACCTATATCAAAGAATCAGTCACTTCTATTTGATAGAGGTTATTTACGGCAAAGAGAAACTATATTAGGACCGATCATTTAGTTACTTGAAGTAGTCTCGAAACCTTTAAATAGCTCAGACACCCGTACTGGTATATATTTTTAGGCTATTTATATATTTTCTTGAACTAACCAATTTAATATACAATATAAGCTACCTGAATAAGTTGTGAAAACCTATTTTCTATCGAATTTATTTGTGTTTAATTATTTTTCTTTACCTTACAATGTATAAGGTAGTGTAGTGATACTGAATTTATTATGTAGACACACTCGTCCATATGCTATTTTTAATTTGATTTTTATAATGAACGACTGACCGACAAAATCCCTGAATCCCCAACGATCCTCAAACTCCTAATCCCCAAAAAGCCGGTAACGCACGGCGACGCCGATTGCTTACCATCAGGTGATCCGTCTGCCGGCTTATGCCATAAAAAAAGTTTTTCTTTTATAAATGATTTCAGTCTCATAAAATAACAATTTATATGTATGTACCTCATTACTTTTGATAATCATTTATCGAAACAAAATGAAACAAACAGATTTGACAAATGTATCGTATGTAGATATATAACATTAGTCATCTAGTGTCACACATTTTAATTTCATTTTATTTTTACAGACACACACTCATCGACCCCGGTGGTCTGTCTAGTGATAGAGGGCGGCACTAACACAGTGCGTGCAGTGCTGGAGTATGTCACTGACACACCTCCAGTGCCGGTCGTCGTTTGTGATGGCAGCGGTCGAGCAGCGGATCTTATTGCTTTTGTTCACAAGTAAGTTGCATAATTATATTTATTTTTTACTAGCGACCCGCCCCGGCTTCGCACTGGTGTAATATGCATATGTTATACATATAAACCTTCCTTAAGAATCACTCTACCTATTACGAAAAACCGCATCAAAATCCGTTGCGTATTTTTAAAGATCTAAGCATACATACACACAGACAGACGTCGGATAGCGATTTTGTTTTATACTATGTAGTGATACGATAAATTAGTAGACAGATTACCAGATGGTGAGCAAATGACGCCCTGTGGCCACTCGCAGCACTTATGGATTTACACGGAGGTGCAAAAAACAACGCATGTGCTATTTTACGCTAGTTTTCTATAAGACAGCGGTATCACTTCGATCGATGAAATACTGAACACAGAGGGAAATTACTGGTTAGAAAAGGCTTTCGACAGAGGTCAGTGGAGAAAAATGGAGGAGGCCTTTACTCCTTAATAAATATTAATATATTTTTTTATATGCATGACAATCAATTACTTATTTATAAATTTTGTGTTGTATATTTTTATCTCTAAATTTTAAACAAAAAATCTTAAATTGTTACTACAAATTTATATGTAATTGATGATGATGATATTGTAAAAAAGACCATGTAAATCGATTGTTAAGGCATAAATGAGGCTTTATTATTATTATATGACTTCGATCGAGTCGGCCTGAGAAGCTATTAGTTCTTTACATTAGGCATATCTTGCAAGTTCGTACTAAAACAAATCGCCAAAGGCCGCCGTATTAAATCAATACTCCCCGTAAACTTGGGAGCAAAACCGCAAACAACAATATTCGAAGGAACACATGAAGTTTTACAAGTAACTAATACGTACATATGTCAAAGTCTCTGGCTCCTCGTATTGGTTCAATGAAACTGCACACGATTCCATAAGTGCATCGTACTTGTAACTAGTTCCAAACTTTGTTGAGAAATACACAGTATTTGTTTCTGGGATATACCTCTACAAGGTGTTGTTTTAAAGCCGCGTCATTTTCGAGGAGGTAACTCGGCTATCGATTCTGAGTCCGAATCAATAAAAATTAAATTTTTCGCAAATTACGGAAATCCGTTAGTGCGAACTACACACCGCCGTCTTGTAACTAGTTTTGTAACGCGGCTTAACACACGAACTCAAATACGTAATTGATATTATTCCTAATTCCATAAAACTCCAATAAGAAACATTGCTGTCGCTTATTCTGAAATACTGTCGAACTTAAACGATTTATAGCCGTATTTTTAACTATTGACCCGAAATTTTCTCTTACATTAAACGTTTATGACTTCTGTGACATGCCCCCAAGAAATGACACGGTTTCAAAACTACACCTTGTATTATGGGTCTGATATTTAGGATGAGAATGGGTGTAATATCACACTAATATTATTAATGTGAAAGTTTTTCTGTTTGAATGTTTGTCCGTCAACCACGCTGAAACTACTGAACAGATTTTGATGAAATTTAGTATACAGGCAGGGCATGGGTTGATTTAGGTGATAGGATTTTTATCCCGATTATATGCTTCCGTGGAATAAAAAATGAATACGCGAGCAAAACCGCGGGTAAATGCTCGTATAATATGATGTTGAAGTTTTATTTCACTTATTAAGCACATTTTTCATTATTTCACGACAGTTCGACGGATTATAGACGTATGATCGCAAAAGCAACTGCCTAGCACGAAGTCTTTAATACGATTCCCGAAACGGGCATAGTATTGTTGAGGTTCGGTATTATCACAGCGTATGAATTTGCGTGTTCAGCTTTTGCGCCCATCGAGGACATCTTAAAATATCACAAAAAAACTAAGTTTGTTGTGGAAGTATACACTGTCACTGGTTCTAAACTCAAGCACCTACTGACCCCAACCCATGATACAAGAGTGAGTGTAATGACGTCATTATTACACCTAGATACGGCCCTCCAAGTTTTACAAAACATAATAAGACAACCTTATATATTTATTTCGTGGAGTTTTTTTGGTTTCCCACATTAGAAAGGATACGAATTTTCTCCAAGATATTCTCAAAGTAAATGTCAAGAACTGCTTAACTTTGGGAGCACCTCGGATATATCTAACCTTATAACAATAATTATGTTTGTGTAGGTACTTGTTTTCTTGTTGACATTTACTTGTACGATTCAAATTATGCTGTCGACGTTTTCAAGTAATCTTATGATTTTTACAGTATAACGAAATGATCTCTTTTTTATTTTATTTTTAAGGGGGGAAAATCATCCTATCACTTTTCCCGTCTAGGTGAGGCGGGAGGGAGTGTCAGACTCTTACTGACTAAAAACCACCCCGTTTCTTCTCCTGCGCTTCGAGCCGCAGCCCCGGTAACCCGTTAGGGTCTCCGCGACACTCCCTCCCGCCTCACCCAGGCGGGGGCAGTCATTCGATGATTTTCCCCCCTTAAAAAAAAAAAAAAGGGTCTCCGCGACTCCGAATCGACACCAGCCCTATTGGGCCCCATCCGTAGCGGTCCGATGGCCCCCTGAGTCGCACGCGTAACGCGACGCGCCGTACGCTCGGGTTTACGGAATATGGAATATGGAATTATATCCAATGAGCCTCATTTAGAACTTTTCATCTTCTAATGACTAAATTTTCATCAGGTATGCTTCAGAGACAGGCGAGCAAACAGTACTGGAGTCGATGCGGGATTACCTGATCAGCACCATTCAGAAGACCTTCGAAGTGGGCATGCAGCAAGCTGAACTGCTGTACGGGGAACTGCTGCAGTGTACTAGGAAGAAGAATCTGGTGAGTACTAGATCATGTAATTTTAGTTTATTTTTGCTAGTTCTCAAATTAAATAACAATATAATCTTGATTGGTTAGTGCTGCGCCTAGGAGACTGACTGCTATGCAACAGGTCGCGGATTGACTTGATTGCCATACGAATTACATGGTCAACAAATAGCTATGTTTTGTGTCTCCTAATAGTGCTAACAGCTTTGAGAGTGTGCCCAAAGTCCGTATATTTTGTTCCCAAAAACATAAAATCTTATTTAAGATAATTCCTTCATCTTACCTGCCGACTTTAGGACCTATTTACTTCTAATTAGGTAACACTGTTCTGTTTTTAGGCCATTTAATTTACCTAAGCTTCTAAAGAAAATTTCAGCAGCCTAAAATTATATTTTTCTTTTTACGTTTAGTTTTTCTTAGATATTGCGAGTTTTCTTTAAATCTTTGTACGTGACGAAGTGATTTAAGTGTAAAATGCTGAAATATACGTGAAAGTTTCCAGACAGTTCGACAGATAATAGACATTAATTTTATAGAATTTAGTCCCTATCATATTATTAAATGTACTGTTAACTTACTTTGGAAACTTTTGTTTTAATAGCCTGTTTTTATCGATATATGTCTAGTTATATACATTTAAAGCACTTACGTAGAAAACCTCGTTTATATTCCACATTTCGAAGAATTTATTTTCTGTCTAGCTATTGAAAAAACACAATATCTACAGTTTTATTATATCAGATACTGAAAATTTACATATTATGTTCAGTAACTTATACATTTTATTGAACCTTCATTAATATACAAATCTCTATGATTAAAATAAATTTTAACTAATATTAATATAAAATAAATTTTAAATAATATATTATGAATAACTAAAAACTAAAATATTTTTTAAAATTTAAAGTGTACTATGAAAAACAATAGAAACTGAAAAACAATAGGTCCTGAAAAACATTTTTAATTGTCATGTAGACACCCCTAAATTTAATAATATAGCCTACATAAATACCTTAATGTCGCTGTAGCATTTGCCACACAAACAATAATTATCTATTACGATCCATAATTATTTACTTTTTCTACGTTCATACATCATTCCTTCCCGAAGTACCTCATATCTTTGGTAAGCACACGAGTGGATGCATAAGAAAAGCTATTAGGTAATTCCAAAATTCTATAAACGTCTGATGTCTTATGACAAACAAATCTCCTTTTACGACTCGCCCTTTACCTTTTTGCCTTTGAAAACACACGAACCCTCTCAAAATAAAATGAGGATAGCACAACTAATACGATTATATTTTTCCCTCGCCATATAGGTAAATTATGAGTATATCTTACTCATAAATACCGAGTATTATGATAGAATAATATCATAAATATAGTACCTACCCAGGTTTCGTTTATGTGAGCTATCAAAAAACGGCGCGTACTACGTTTGTAAAATTAATGACGTGGTACTTTTTACTCGAATGCACAGGGAATATTATCTGTGGTTACGTGTATGTATGAGTTTGTTCTTTTTTTATTAATTCGGGGTTTATGGTGTGTTGTAGATGTGGCTTAAAATAGATCATTGATCATCTAACACTTTGTAAGCTTATGTGCACAAAAAGTAAAAATTAGACAAATAATAAAAACAGAAATTGTAATTAAACGCGAAACTTTGCATGATTGTAAGATAATTTGAAAAGTATTTATAAACTAATTGTATTATAATTAATTATTATCTATTTATCTAACATTTGCTTCGTTCATTTAAAACTTGTAGAAAATATCTGCCAGGCCGCTGCCCGGTCGAAGCCCAGAATAATTTTCCCTGTTAAGTATTAAAAAAATACAAAAGCGTCCAGTTTTAGTAGCGGAAACTTTTCCTAAAGTACAAAAAGGCCAAACTAACGAGCTCCTGTACCGTTTGCAAGTTTTCCTGCGACTATGCTCATTGACTGACTTTTTTATATTTTTTAACAGAAAACTTTGTCCCGATCTAGCAATCTTTTAGCTTGTAGATAAATTAATTCTAGAGGACCGAACACTAAAGGCTAAGAGTTCTTAAACTAGTCTTTGTTAAAAATGGATTCTGCATTTTTTGCTGAAACAAAAGTAACGGTTGCACCATTGCTCCAGGGAATAGCAGGTGTGATGTTAGGTATGTCATAGTTTATCGGACACACAAAGCCCGAACTGAGCTTCATTTGTTTCTACTGCCTGCCCTGTTTCACCTGACTTTCATACGTAGGTAGTTCAATAATTTGACTGCACGGTTGGTCCGGTGGCTGGGCAATTGGCTGCCGTGCAACGTGTCGCGGGTTCGATTCCCGCACGGAACAACACTTTGTGTGATCCACATATTGTTGTTTCGGGTCTGGGTGTCATGTGTATGTGAACTTCTATGTTTGTTAACGCATACACAACACAGGAGATAATCCTAGTGTGGGGCAACGTTAAAAAAAAGTTAAAAAGGTAAAAAAAATAGATAGACAGCCATAAAGCAGAGGAATTTTTACTGTCCTTTGCTTTGCTTAATCAACATACTCATTTTCCCCGTTCATTCCGAGAAAATCATAGTGAAACGTGAACTAATTGTGCTCATATCAATTGGAACCTTATGAGGCACGTAATTAGGACGCTGATGAAAGAACAGGACCTTGCTAATGGATCTCACACAATGAGCCACGTGAAACACATTTTCGTCCATTCATTGCGTTCGGTCGATAATAGAATTTTCGGGTATTGTCTACGTAACATGACTCCTGACTGGCTAAATAATATAAAGATGCCGTACTTGTTTTTCTAATAAGATGTATAGGTATCATATAGACAGAGAATATCTATTCATTATCTTACTATAAGAGATTGAATTGGAAATTATATCTACTTCATGTAGGTACTTACACGAACAAATCCGTACGTATTGAAATAAATAACAATATGTCTCATTAACCTTTAGGTTATTTCCGAATACCTACTCAAACAAATGATGATGAAGATGACAGGTACATAAATCATTTACCCTTAATTATAGTTAGACGTGTTTGTAGTTGCCACAGTTGTAGTTTTAGAAAAAACTTGAAATAAATTTAAGTTTAATCTCTTGTGTAATCTTTTATTTTGGATGTTTTATTTTATCCTACAAGAAATGACAACGATGTAAAAGTTTAATCAGTATAAACTTTGTGTAAGCACTCAGAGTGAGGATTAAATTAATGTATACCTGCTTTCACAAGATGGCATTGTAATATTTTTTAGCATTCATTTTATTAAACACATTAAGGGCCAATTTTTCAATGCTCAGATAAATTTTAACCTTTCAATATTTGACAACTCTTCCATACTAAAAATTGTCAACTGTCAATTTTATTCTACAGCTAAGAATTAACTGATAATTGAAATAACGGCCCATAGAAGCTAAACTCTTCCATATTTTTCTCAATTCACTTGCTGTTTAACTAAACATATTATCCGTTTTATGAAATACTTAAAAAAATATTAGTAGTTATCAAGAAAAACTACCACAATATGAACGTCAAATGCACCTGCGCATAATAAATATTCAAGATGGCCGCCGTGCCATCATAGCTAAGTAAATCATTCTCTTTGCTTGACATTTCAATTTTCTTTTCACCCTGCTCCTGTTTTACACTACGTCTTTTTGAGCCAGAAATATTAATATTTGAGTATAGTGGAAACACGTGTGTTTTAACTCGTCGAGTACCGGTTTTGTAGACACAATTATACCTCTAGAACAATAGGTTGCGGTCACTGGTGACCGCTTGGTGTTTGACAGTTTAAGAATAAGATGTTTCAATACTGTTTATTTTCTTAAAATCTTCATTTTACACTAGGCTATGACTTTATAGAGAACTCTTGTACTGCAAATTGAAATGCAATGTACCTATACATAAAAGTCATACATATCTATCCATTTGTCATTATGAAACTGAAATATCTCATATCCGGTTAAATTACACTAACGAGACAACCTCAAATAAACGACAACGACAGAGATATATTACATTATAGAACCAGGAGCGCAATATTGCTACTGAAATTAAAGCCACTAAAACATTTCAGTTCTTAGTATAACTTCAGAGAATGTTAATCAACGTAGTAATAAAGAAACTAGTTTTAAAACTATCATTTTCTTCTGTAGATAGTATGCTTATAATGGAATGACACAATTGATGGGCGTGTCTCGTTAGCACGTTTAATGGAAGACTCGAGGCGTCACAAAAAGCGGGCGTTCCTCAAGGCGACATTCTGGGACCTGCACTTTTTATTGCCACTCTTGTTAAATTTCGCTTTGTGTTAAAGTGTTGAAGCTAACCGTTTTCTCCACCTTCTTGTTTCTGAGGGTGAAGCAATCTAGTGTTTAATTTCAATCTTTTGTTAATGTTACTTTTGTAAAAACCGTAATAGGTATATGTTTGCTTACGTATAAATTAACTAAAACAATTTTTATTAAACTTTGCGCTATCAAAATAGATATCAAATTAAGGTCCAGGAGCTAAATCACAAACAGGTACCTACAATAGAAACTCTTCTATCCATATATTATTATCTAACTTCATTTCAATATTAATGTCATAAATATGGATTAAATCTAACATACAATAAGATTTTACACATTGATATTTAAATCACCGTATCGCTTATTTAATTAAAATCCTCTGACAATAGCTACAAACTTTATATGTAGTGTTACTCCTCTCATATTTCACAAAATTAATACCATGTACAGGTTTTATGGACGTTTTCACTATGGATTTTATTACCCTGAACATGAAATTGAATTGGAGTTCATCTAGAAAATCGAGTCCAGCATTCATTTCAGTTCTTTGCCCTTTCAGATTGAATGTCACCTGAAATTCATGGATGAACAAATACTTGATCAAAGTTTTATAGTTTAACATAACATCACGCCTTTTATCCCCGAAGGAGTAGGCAGAGGTGCACATTAAAAAAAAATTCATTGGTAGCACGGAGTCTAGAATTGTGCCCGGTAT